TGTAGAGTAATTGTGAATTGGAAGGCAGGAAGCTAGAATTTGTTTATTTAGAAAAATGTTAAAGGAAACCAGTATGTGGTCCCTTTAAGAGATAAAGTGCTTTTCTAAGCTTAGGGATTTATACAGAAAATGGGTCTGTAAGCAGCTGCAGATTGCAGACAGTTCTAAAAATTGAAACACGTATCAATTGGCTGTGTGTTTGAAAACCTTAGGCTTATTTTGATGTTTTGGCAACTAGCTTGAATCAGCCAATTAATTTAAACCAAGCACTCAGAAACTGAAAACCAATTGAATTTAAATCTGATGGTGTTGACAATCAGGGACCAATCCTAGTGTAAGAAATGGATAGGTGATCAAGGGTATAAAAAAAGAGACCATTTGGAAAATCGGTAGAGAGTCAACTGCCATCTTAAGGGGTGAGAGCAAACTTGCCATCTGAGGAATAAATACCTAGCTCTCTCACGAAATCACTAAGCTCTCTAAAAAAGCACCATAAAAGATAGCACCTCTAGCTTAGAGTCCTCACAGAAGAAATTACAGAAAAAACATTGAGAGCAGGATCAGCAGAAGAAAGGCTGGAGAGACAGCGGAGAAGACAGAGCATTCCAGAAGACACATTCTGTGTGAACTTTAAGAGACTAAGTTTTAATTTGTTGTTTTTTTATTACTTGGATTTATATAAGTGGGACCTATGTTTATTGGAACAGCATAGCAGTAGAATTTAGTTCATTTAGGGAATAGTTAGTAGTTAGGGGGGAATTGTTTGGTTTGTTAGTAATTCTGTTAATTTGTTCAGTGTTAGGGTTAAATAAATAAATTGTTACTTGTTACTTATAAAGTGAGTATCAGAGATTCATTTTATTTAACTCTTTTAACAGATTACGAGGGGTAAGACGAGATTCTCGCGGTGTTTCAGGTTTAATTATTAGAAGGGAACTTATACTTCCGCCATAACAGATTGGGGCTGGTGTTTCAGTTTAATTATCAGAGGGGTCCAACCTTTAACCTCCCCTTTGTAACAGCAAGAAATGCAAAAATGGATAACAAGAGTTTCTACAGGTGTTTAAAAAGGAAAAAAGTCAGAGAAGTAAAGTCCTCTGGAGCAATGGTGTTCAACTGATGTGCTACGGCACACTGGCATATGGCAAGGTGAGAAATGTGTGCAAAATTTTCAAGAAACTGTGCCATTTTATCCTGTGACAGCTGGCACCCTATTACTGGAGTGAGGGGGGACAGCTGTGGATAAAGGGGAGCCTGTGGGGCACACTGTAAGGTTTCACATAAATGATTATTGCACAAAGGAGAAGTTCATGGTGTAGGGGTTAATGTATTAGCATGAATAGTACGCGGGAATGGGTCTTTTTCTGATTGAATGGTTGTAATGCGTGGCATACCGCAGGGGTTTAATGCGGTCACAGCATTTTATAACTTATATCAGTAACTTAGATATGGAGTAGCTGAATTTTTTAAAGATGAGTTTGAAAGTATGTTGTGAAGAGAACTTAGGTTGAGTTAGGCATTTTTTCATTAGACTTCAAAAATATGGGTGTGACTTGATTTAAGTGTATAAAGTCCTGAATAGTCTTGAAAATGTGGGCATGGAAAGGATGTTTCCTCTCATGGGTGAGTCCAGAACTAGGGAGTACTGATTTAAAATTATGTGTGAAAGTAATTTTTTTCCACTGTGGGAGCTGTGTATCTTAGGACCTCCTCCTGTCAGAAACTAGTGGAGATGGCATTATTGAATATATTTAAGGTGGAGATAGGTCGATTCTTGTTAGGCCAGGGAATCAAAGCTTATCTAGGGTGGATGGGTATGTGGAAATTGAAATACAAACTGATCAGGCATGATCTTATTGAATAGTAGAGCATGTTGAGGGGCTGAATGGCCTATTTTTCCTGATTTGGGTGTTTGAATAATAGTTCATTTAGCTGTGATTTTTTAGTTTGGGAGAATATTCCTGAATTTGATGTAATAAGTATTTGAGTAATTTGTTAGGAATTTTGAATGTAGGGATGTAACGTTGTTAACTTTGCCTAATGGTGCTGATGTCATTCAATCAGATACCTTCTGTGATTCTTATTTTCCCCATTTGGTTTCTGTTTTCTGTAAATGATTAAGAAATGCTGATAATGAAACCCTTCAAATTGTTTTAAAATTTACTGAGATGAGAATACAGGTTTCAAATTATTTCTATATATTTGAGGAAATTTTATTCAGTAGAGAGCAATTAGGTCTAACGTCGGATGAAGTTCTTTGTTTCGGTATGTGGATTAGAAAACTAGTGACCACGTGTTTTATTGTTCATGTTCATCTGGTTTTTCAGATGAAAGTAACCAACTTGTAGCTGGATAACTGTCAGGCAGTATCATTTCAAATGAAGTACATTTTTTGATATTTTATCGGCAAAGAATAATCTAATTGTAGTTCTGCTGATTGTTCAGAAATTTTCAACTGGTCCCCTAGCCTATGTTAGAGGAAGACAGGTTAGAACATTCCTCAGCAGATGAGTTCTTTGCCTCAATTTTTTTTTTGGTCTATTCAAAATGTTCAAATGCTTGACAGAATAATGTTTGTGGGGATCACCTGGGTAAGAGTGATCAGTGTAGCATAGGTTTAGACTAGTGGTTCAGAAGAACAAGGAACAATCAAAAGGAGACTGTCTAAATTGGATGAGGGCAAGTTTGAATGGGTGTTAATGGATCTAGCCAGGATGCATTGGAATCAAAGGCTGACAGGAAAAGCTGAAATTAAACAATGGGTGCTCTTTGAGGAGATGATGCTTTAGATACAGGCTAGGTACATTCCAACAAGGGCGAAAGGTGGCAGACTGAAGCCAGAACTCTCTTGATAATGAGGAGCTTGAGAATAACAGGGAAAAAGAAGGAGATGTACGGTTAAGCGTGCAGGACAAAACTGGCATGTGTAGAATCTATTATGAAAGAGGAAGCTGACAAAATATTGGTAGAAGCAGAGATAAGAGAGGGTGGGGCGAAAGTTGGAAAGTAGGAGGTCCTGAAAAGACTGGCTGTGCTAAGTGTTGATAATACACTTGGTTTGGAAGTTTAGCAAAGGGAAGTGGTGGTGTAGATAATGGGACACTTGCTACAACCTTGGAATCTTTCATGGGTGAGCGGAAAGTGTCAGGGAATTCAGGGCGCACATTTAAGAAAGGGTGTGAGGGCAGCCCCAGTAACTATGCAGCAGTTGGTTTAATATAACTCGTGAGTAAAGTTCCAGACACTATAATTGTGGGGGAAGAAGATCAGCAGGCAACTGGAGAATTTTGTGTCAATTAAGAATTGTCAGCAAGGATTTATAAAAGACAGGTTGTGCTGGACTAATTTCTTGATGACATAACCGAGCAGGTGGATGAAGAGAATGCAGTGAATGTTTGCATGGATGATAAGAGAGCCATTTGAAAAAGTACCACATAAGAGGCTGGTTAACAAAACTTGAGGCTCATGGGATAGGAGGTCATTATCATTTTTTTAAAAATTAGCTTGAAGACAGAAAAAGTGAGTTGTATCAAATGCTTGTCTTTCAGACTGGACGCTAGTAGTCAATGGAGTTCCCAAGGGTCAGTACTAGAACCAATGTTTATTCAATTAGTAGATAACTGAAATATTGGAATTTCAAATTTTACTGATGATACCAAAATTGGACAAGTGGTAAACAATGAGAATGATACAAATGATATGACTAGGTGGGCTAGCAGAATGAACAAATACACTCAAGTGAAACTTGCAAGAGAGAAAGGTGAGGTGTTTTTGGAGGTATACAGAGGCAATATAGATTTGATGGCACAGTACAGAGGTAATAGGTCTAGGGGTGCATTTTTTTTTAATCTGTGGAGGTGGCCAGACACACTGAAATAGTACTTAGAAAGGCATAAAGAATCTTGGGCTTCATAAATAGAGACATTGACTACAAAAGCAGGGAAATTATCCTGAACAAAGCTTTGGTGAGGCCACGACTGGAGAATTGCTTCTAGTTCTGATCATCGCAGTTTAGGAAAAATGTGAGGGTCCTTGAGAGGGTAGAGGTGAGATTTACCAGAATAGTTCCAAGAATGGAGGATTGTAGCGACAAGGTTAATTTGGAGAAAATGGTGTTTCATCCTTGGAACAAAGGAGATTAGGAATAGATTTGATAGATGTGTACAAGATTATGACCGGTTTAGTAAGGTAGGCAAAGAAAAATTCTTCCTATTAGCTGATGGTACAAGGACCAGGGGACAGTAGTATATGGTTTTGGGCAGGAAATTACAGGGTTCTATGTGAGGAAATAGTTTTTTTTTAGCACAGAGTGAGTGGAAATCACTGCCAAAGAGGGTGGTGGAAGCAGAGACACTCAATAATTTGAGTAGAAAATTGCACGGGTATTTCAAGAAAATAAACTTGCAAAAGTTGGGACTGACTGGATTTTTCTGTAGAGAGATGACTTGGACTAGAAAGGCCAAATGGCCTCTTTCCATGCCATAAATGACAGTATAACATTATAAAAATGAAACAATTGAGCACATTATGAAAGGGAATGCTAAATGGCTTGCATAGCCAGCGTGGAGTATTGTTAGCAGTCACCATTGGCCTATCTTTACTCATCATTAATGAAGCTTTCCACTGTGCCTGAAACATCTCAATAATTTCCCTGTGACAATACACCGTAACCCAGAATGAGAAAACTTAGTGTCAGTTATGAAGCTGGTGAATCGCTGGATTCATTTGTCTCTCTTTTTTCATCAACACCAAGGACATAAACAAGCTTGAAAGAGCTTGTAATGGGAAAAAGCTATTATCAGGAGAGGGGTCTATTTAAATGGAATTTTTATTTTAAAATTTCATGGCAAACCTAATTAGTAAATGTGAACATGAATATGAATTTAGAAACTATAAGTTGTGTTTATTCTGATCTTTCCAGGAGCACAGTTATATTTAAAGACATTTTTAAAAATACTTTAAGGGTTTGAGTTAACTTGCAGAATATTACCCTTTAGCAGATCGCCATCTTCCCAGAGACAACATCAAACACCCACGGTATCTAGGCAGCACTCCCCATCCTCGCGGTCAGCTTCACCTGGAACAAGACAGTCAACGTCACCACACCACAAGAGATCCACTTCGCCAAGTTACCATCGTGCTGCAACTCCCTCTCGAAGGCGTTCTCCATCACCATATGCTCCACGCTCCTCATCTCCGCAAAGAAAACAGAGCCCAGTCAGGCACAGATCCTCTGGCCAAGAAAAGGGCAAACATGAACAGGAAACCTCGCCATTACAAGAGCGACGTCGTGAAAAAAGGGAAGGTAAAAACAAATGGATTTTGGGAAAGATTAAGCTGAGTTTAAGTGCAACTTATATTTTTAAGAAGTAGTTACAATTTGTTGTATCAGATATAATGTATTTGAATGCCCAGTGATTGTTGATATCCATTGACTTCCATTTTTACACATTAGTACAAATGCTTGTTACTGTATTGAGGAAGACAGTCATTCGTATCTGCAATTTCCCACGTAATCAGCTCTATTCTTCTCTATGTAATAGGGGTGAGCAGAGAGATAAAAATGATCTCTAAGTAAGAAATTTCTTCTCTTGGAAAGTCATGAATCTTTGAAATTCTCTTTTCCTCAGAGAGGTGGAGGCTGGCTAAATAGGGTATATTCAGGATTGCTGAAAAAAATATATTTAGTCAAAGCTTCTTGTCTTGATCTCATCGAGACAATTCTCAAGAAATACCAAAGTAGAGTGGGAAGAAAAACTCATTATATTGAATGAGAGGAGAGAGTCATTTGGTAAGCGGACGTTGATTGGCAGAGGTGTTACCATTGGAGAATGTACTGGTTATTAGTGACTGACAGTTAACTGTCCAGCATTGTTTAAATTTTAAACCAGGCAGATTGACTCTGATTGGGCAAGGCATTTCCTTAAGAAATGAAACCTGAGAATGGCTGTCACCTATTTTGTTGCGTGGAAACCTGCGCACTGTATGTACATGTTTTTTCTGTTGTAAAGAGCAGGATTGTGTGAATTCATATATGCAGCCTCTAGTACAAGTAATTGTCCCCAACTGACGATCCAAATTGGTTGTCAATGTAATTCTTCTTACATTCGGGAATATATAGCAAATGTTGTCTGACTGCAGAATCATATCAAAAGTTGAACGCTGTGTTGTTTTGCAAACGTGGGCAAATTGGGTATAGTCAGCACCTTGCTTTTTACAAACAGCTGAAAGGATATGCTTGTTTGGTACAATCTGTTCGTCCTCAGGACTTACATGTACTTAGCATTGCATTGATACTGAAATTCATATACCATGTGAGTCATTTGTGTGATAGGCAGAATGTCTTCTTGGCTTAATGGCAGCGTCCTATTAGGAGTAAACTGCTATTGTATCATAGCAGCATGGGGCAACAAGCTTGATTTGTCACTCAGCCTTTGAGATATCTTACCCTTCCAGGCTAATTCAAATGAGACTGGACACTTTTCAGGACGAAATGGCACGGCCACAGTCCTACATGGAACTGTACAAATCCCATTGTGTGTATGATCAGTGTGCTAGTTAGCAGTGGAGAATTCTGGCTAATTTCTCAACTCGGGTATCAAGGAAAAGGACCTCATTTGACTGTTCCATTTCAGAGATGATTTTGAGTGAAGGATAGAACCCATTTAGACATGTAAAGAAATTCTTAGCTGGGGATTTGACAACAGTCATCTACATATAGGAAATATGCAAGGGGTAAGGTGTTCAGGTATCATTCCATTGAAAACATGTTTCTGGTGGAAGATGTTTGAGAGAGCTTGGCCCAGGAGGAATCCTTCTGTTTGGGCATATAACTTGTTAAGACTGAACTCAACTGCATGATTTGCTGATTTCATAAGTTCAACGATATCTGATCCACACAATGGTGGCAAGTAAGTCTAGATCGCCGTTGTTTCTTGGGTAGCTGTACAGACATGAATGTGACAAAGGGCCTGAAATAGTCACTCTGAACAAGTGTGACTAATCAGCAAAATGCAGGCCATTCTTAATGAAGAGTCCAAATTCTTATTTATTAGACTTGACACACCGCATAACTGGCCAGCCTTACTCAAAATCAAGCCAAAAACACTTGCTGGACTTGTGTAATATTGGTGAGTTTCTAGATTATATATACAATAGGATTTGTCCTCATAACTCGCTGTGTCAGCTGTAAATCTGCTTTAGTGCTGATGAGTGCAACACAAAAAACTTTGGCTTTGTGTCTCCTTGTAGTAGTATTTAAGTTGTATTCTAGCAAGTAATTATTTATAAGCTTTAGACCAGATTTAGTAGCTGGTGGACAAGATCACTATAACTGGAGAGCCAGTGGCAACCACACCAAGGCTGTTCC